AATGGTCGGCTTCTTAGCTTTATCTAAAGCGACCATTATTTCTCACAAATATAATGCAAAACTTGAGCTGAATGATAAAATATCAAACTACGAGCTTTTAGAAGAGCAGAATTCTCATTCCTTGAGCGAGTGCGCCGCGATATGTCAACGGGAGTGCGTCGTCTTTGGTTTTAACCCTGAAATGAAAAAATGTCGTACCCACAAGAAAAGATTAACGTCTGGGATGTCTGATGAGGCCGGTTGGAGATACTACTCGGATAACGGTATGTACATCTGTTTTTTTTTTGTTTGCTTCTTTGGTTTCTTTTTAGGTTCCTCTCGAAAAGACACGATTTATATTGACAATTCTTATAAGTGGTATAAGTGTATTTTCAACATAATTAGTAATAATATTCATTTAAGCTTTATGACAAAGATCATTCTACGCCATTACGCAGCACAGCACAGTTAAGGTTACAAAAAGGAGGCGGAGCCTTATTTGTACGGTAAAACTTGACTATGACGTCATACACAACATTTCTTTAAATTACCACAAAATGACTTTATCTGCTTATTTAACCAGGAAGAAATCCTCAAACTACATAAAAACTTACTACAGTGTGTAGTTTTGTCGTTAGTTAAATCCCACATAACAAGTTATAAACAAGTCACTGATCGCAATATACTTGTCAATATGACGTCGTTTCTTACAACGTGACGTAGTTTGTATGCAGTGAGAGACAGATCAAGTAATATTTTCTCAACAAAATATGTATTCTCTAATTAAATAAAATATTATTTACAGATATTCTATGGGCCAATAACTTGAATTTAATGTCTTCTTCACTATTTTATCAATATATTATCTGTACATTACGTATTCAATTGACACTGCCGTATATTTGTATGCAAGTACATCTGAGGGTAATGTGGGGGTCTTAATAAATCGATCTAATGCAAGGGCATACACTCTATGTATCAAAGTAAGCTTTTATATTTCAACTATAGAACTGTTAAGGTATTTGAGAAGTGCTGCGATCCTGGTGAAATCTTAAAAACAATTTTATTATATCAATATTTCATGCCGCTGACCAGCAAAAAATATAGCATTCGGTCATAAAAGTATAATTTTAGCAATAAAATTGCAGAATTTAGACAGGATCGCAGCAAGTTTTAAAAACTAAAATGCGTGTTGAAAATATTTATATACTAAACTTGGAAATTTAACTTGGTTATGCCCTTGCACTAGTGATATTTATTTGTAACATCAATACTTCAAGTCAATCTGCTAAAATCGCGTGACTGCCGCATCACGTGACTAGTCTAAATATAAAATATTATCGTCCTCGATATGTAGCTATTAATCATAATTACAATTATCCTATATAAATAATGTACTAAAAATAATTGCCATCCCGATTACGAATATATTTTTAAATACAAAATTTAGTCGATATTTCCACTGCGCACCTTAACTGTACTGCGTAGAAAATTATAGCTTGTAATTAACTAAAAATTCAACGAAAAAAACTCACTTTAAACTAGTTTCTCGAAATTACTACCTTGTAAACAGCTGTCCTGAAAGCGGAGATGTGAATCATGTGCCATGGAGGAGTAAACATCCTCTGTCGATCGGTCAGATCCACCGTATGTCCCCTGTTCTGATCTGGAACACGGGAAGTTTTAGGACGATTCATTGTAAAAATGTAGAACTTACAATCTGTAAAAAACGTCAGTCTAAATTTGATAGGATAGACTGTTTTGGAAAACATGGTCATTGTATTGACCTTAGAATTTACGAAATGTTAAATTTCACATAGATTATATCATACAAAAAAGAAGATATAATGATTTTACAAAATTTTTGACATTTTTTTTATGATCCAAATGGTTTATCATCTGATATACAAATGCATTCCTACTTAACATTTCTTTAATCAACAGAGTATTGAAAATACTTAGTAGTTGTATTTTATTTTAAATACTTTTAATTGTGTCATAAATAATAGATTTGTAGCAATTAGAAAAAAAAGAAAAAAATGATTTTAGATAATGGGGAACAGTTTAACCTAGTCTGCATTGTACAAAGGCAACTTAGCCACATATGATCCACATATGAGTATCATATGATTCTCATATGATTGGTTTCATATGAGTATCATAGAAAAAGGGCATCATATGTGAATCATATGAAGCAAATCATATGATTTACATATGATCCACATATGTGAATCATATGAAAATAACTTCATAATATGATTTGCATATGAATGGTTTATGTGTTTGTCAAGCCATTTACATATGTGAATCATATGAAAAGTGTATCATATTTAAATCATATGAAACAGTTATATGCGTTCTCTTTCAATATTTTTTTACATTATTGTACACATTTAAAAATCAGATATTTCTGCTTTAGATGAAAATTCATTACATTTCAATGATCTATCTTCATGGGTTAAATATTTGAAAATATCTTATAATGCTTACACAACTTTTTTGATAAAATTATTTTCATCAAGAGAAATAACTTATTTTTCACAGTGTACATTCTAAACAAGAACATATACAAACAAGTCAGTAGCATTTGTTGATACATGTATTCAACAGGCTTGAGGTAATGCTAATTGTAATGGTAATAATTTTTTATATTGTCATTATGACAATTGAATTGAATTTTGCAAGACAATTACACTATTGATAGATATGCTTCATTACAAAAATCATAAAAAGCAATTTTGACAATTGAATTTGGAATGTTCAAATAGTATATATTAATTCAAATTGCCAAAAATTAAGTAGATTCTGACACAAATGGGCAGAAAAAACAGACTTTGTGATTCCAGGAAATCCCGGACTTTGTTGGAAAGAATATAACAAAGTCTATTAAACAGTGTGTAGTTACCTTAACTTTTAAGCAAGCCTTGGATCTTAGGATTTTTTCTTATGAGGGGCTGACTGTATGTTGAACCTGTAAAACAAATATTTACACAGTAGATATTTTCTAAGCATTACTAAATCTTAAACTACAAAAAAGAGAGGACAAGTTTGTAGGTTCTCAATTGTCTTAAATATCTTACAATTTTCCTGAAACTAGGTTCTCTAGTGTTGGAAAAAATTATAAATGTCAGTCAATGAATACATAGTATATAAATGGTGCCTGTTTGGAGGGTAACAGTTGAAATTGACACCCCAAGGAAAACCATAGTCAACTGACGTGTCAGCGGAGGTTGACAATGGTTTTCCGAGGGGTGTCAATTTCAACTGTTACCCTCCAATTCAGGCACCATTTATTTTATTATACTGAATGTCATTTTTGAGAAAAAAGATGTCTGAAAAAAAATCGTCGATTGTCTTTACGCTCACGTTTATAGAAAACTTTCAAACTCCCCGCTACTTCGAAAAAGATTTACTAACCTCTTTATTGTTAATTTGATATTCTAAGAGTCCTTTATCATCTAAAGTTTCGTTATCTAGCACTCGCAAGCATGTTTCAACTGTCGTTTGTTGTTTTTAAGTAAGCTACATCAGACGCAAGCTTTTATTTACATTAAGTTTATTTTGGTTCTTTCAAACGCGCAACTGACGTATTGAGAATTCTACGGTGAACTCTACGCGCATAATTTCCATGCATGTGGCATTACCGTTGCCACGTGTGTTGCTAAGGCTGAGGGTAATAGAACGGTTTGTTAACTGCGTTTAAACCAATCAGATTTTAGTATTCAACATGAAAGTATAATAAATGTAAATATTCAATGGATTAGCTATCTGATGTCCTTTCAACACATAGTCACATGCACATGTACAGTATTTGCACCTTGAAAGTTGCCACTGTTATTATTAATTTTTTGCTGAAATTCAAAAATTCAATTTACCCCCTGAAATTATTGTAGAGTTTCATAGCTTTTAACGCAAGAAAATTCTATTCATACTTTCCATATTTTAAAAGTGCATTTGATAAAAATGGTTTCATAATGTAGAATAAAACTTCTATATTATTGAGTTGATTTTTTTATTTATATTTGATGAAGCCGGGTAAACAATGTAGAATTATAAAGGAACGAAAAAAAAATTATCAAGAATTATTTTGTCATAAAGGAGTCATTACAGATGTACACTTTGATTTTTTATTGCAATATTTTTACCTTTAATAATGTCATGATGAAATCGTCTGTCAGAATCAGCTTCAGGATCAATCGCCAGTCTTATCAGCTTTGGGTTTCTTGGACTTCTTAAAAAAAGCAGCACTGTGACATTGAACTCAAGTTGTTGAATGCATCTATAGGCATTAAAAACAAACATTTGTCATTAAGTTGATGAAAGAATTGATTTGATAACGATCTCAACATATAAAACTGCTATACAGGTTTCTACTTTCACTTTCAAATCAGTACGTAAGAAAAGTCAAAACAAAAAGAAAACAAAGTAATGCCTTTAGCCTAACATATAAATTGTAATGTTTACATCCATTCAGAAACAAATTTATCCAAAATACTTACAGATCACTAACATTATGTAGGTTTGCGAAATGCATTAAGTTAACAATTACAAGTGATGAGAGTATTATAAAAATTATAAAAATAAGTTCATACGAACCTGTTACCGTAATGAAAGGATATTTAAACAATATGAATTAAAGGGTCTAAAAAAATTGTTAGGAGATAACTTACTTTTTCCATAACCCGTCAAACATGACGTACACTTTCATCCGATAAAAGTCAAAACCGGTCCGGAAAAAAATACGGAATTATTTTGATTTTACTCAAGTAATAAACCAAACCCAAAAGATTTGAAATAAAAAGCAAATTTATTTATTCTTCATGAATTTTATTTGGGAAATGCATTATTAAAAAGACAATTGTGAAAGTTTTTTTTTATGAGGGGGGGGGGGGTTAAACAGAGTAGAACTATACATAAGTAATTGCTAGAAATTCTCTATCATTAATAAGCATTTAAATCACTATTTTTGAAATTGCAATTTTACTTGCATATACCAAGGGCAAATAGTGCACACATGTTTCATATGATTTTCATATGATCATGGTTTCATATGATTCTCATATGATCACTGTGAAAATATTCATTTGATTTTTACCTGAGTATATCAAGGGCAAATTAGTGAATACGTTTCATATGATTCTCATATGATCAGTTTTATATGATTCTCATATGACAACTGTCAAAATTTACATATGATTCTCATATGTAGGGCCTTAAATATGAGAATCATATGTAAATATAATCATATGATATACATATGTGTAATCATATGATTCTCATATGATTAGCCACATATGATTCTCATATGATTGTATATACATATGATTCTCATATGATCCACATATGATCTTCATATGAAAGGCAATGCATATTTGGATCATATGTGGCTAAATTGCCTATGTACATGTAGTTAACATTTTAGCTTCAACAATTAACATTTATATATAATGAAGGCATTATATATCCTCTGATTTCTTGTACAAACGCATATGATCTCGGCATTTTTTTAGATTATGTTTTCTCTGCCATGCCCAAAGATTGTAACGAACTTTGTGAAGAAGGACAAGCTACTACAGGGGTGTATGATATATACCCCTACAGTACACTAACCATTCCAATAAGTGTATACTGCGATATGACGACGAAGGGTGGGGGATGGACGGTATGTAGTTTTTTTTAAATCAAAAGTACATAATATGATTATATAATATATATATATTTTACATTGTTTCTGTTGTTTTAAAACTGTAAAATAAAAATTATAAATATTTTGAGTTTATATCATAATAATTGACTGTTCCAAGCAATAAATTGAATTGTTACGCATGTTAATTTTCAAAGGCCATTCAGAAACGCGTAGATGGATCCGTGAGCTTTGACAGGAACTGGACGGAATATATAAATGGTTTTGGTTCACCAGAACAAAATTTCTGGGTTGGTAAGTATAAATCGCTTTCAAACAAGAACTTCTTATTCCTTCAAAATTTTGAGGATAAAAAAATCTTGTTGCAAGTAAAAAATTATAAAGCATAATAAAAATCTGAATTTAAAACTAGGTAATACATGTTCTAGGACTTTCACATTTCGTGTTAAATCTATATCTCAAATGATTAGAAAAAAAAAGAAGAAAATCATATAGCAACATATTTTTATGAGACCAAATTAAGCATTATTGTCTACAGCTAACTGACATAATCTGATTTTTAACTACGGTACATTCATATTTGTAATAGAATTATTTGTATTGCCATGGACTTTTAAGCTAATTTCAAGTATATCGTAATACAGGAAATGACATAATCCATCAATTAACAAAAGAAAAATCATCCCTATATGTGTCCATAACTCTCCAGAATGGTACAACGCTTTATGAAATGTACGACGGATTTTCTGTCTCCAACGAAGCTGGAAAATATCAGCTCTTTCTTGAGGGACCTGCCACGGGAACCTTAGGTAAGCGTATTCACATTAAGTTCTTTAAATTAGGTTCAAATTACTATACCTACCTTCCTGGTCCTTGTTGCACTCGGAGGCACATTTGGCAAGGACGCAAATTACGCATTTTATCATAATAATACTTTTCTGTATTGAAAGATTATTTAGTTATGAGGAAAAAGAGAAAGGTACGCTTTTTTCTGATATTCTGTATACGTTTTTGATTCCACGCTAATTAAACATGATAAATATTTCAAAATATCATTTGCAGGTACAATTCACGAATTCCGCTATTATTTAATTTGATATTGTCAGTAGTTAAAATTTCAAATTATATATTGAAGTACAAAAACCATTATGTTAAATCTATTTTCACAAACAAATCTAGGAAATTTATTTGCTCAACCATTGTTTTTGAAATTGGCCTTCCTGATAATTTTTAATAATTCACATTTTATCTACTACTTAAAAAAAGAAGCTTACAGAGCGTAATTTATCTATAATATTGACATCTTCACGAAAATTTGTTGTTCAAAGAAAATTAATTTATCGGAAACATACTCAAATTACAAAAGCCAAATTCAAAATACCTCAACTTGATTCACATTAACTATACCTTTCTCTATTAAATGAAAATCTTTTATGATTAAGAATTTTTAGATCAGATACATAATCAAATTTTAAAATTCGAAACACCTCAACGCATTCTTTTTGTTTAATACTACAGGAGACAGTATGTTAGACACTGGTTATGGTAATGACGATCTGTCCGGGATGTCCTTCACCACCCCAGATAGGGATAATGACAGATGGAGTGATAATAACTGTGCTGCTTACTGGAAAGGAGGCTGGTGGTTTAACTGGTGTCATCAAGCCTATCTAAACGGTGAATGGTCCCCGGGGTACTGGTACAGACCATGGTATCCCACAATAGAGTGGGGGACATCAGTGAAGGGGACCACCATGATGATCAGACGTCACTAGGTAAACATCATTAAATCTTAATAACAATTTGTTTTTCTTTTTGTATCACTGTGAAAATTTCAAATGATTATAAGAGGTTTTTCAAAGTAAAAAATGTTCTTATTTCTGTGAAACATTCATTTAATTCTACTTTTTCTTAACAGACGAAAGATCGTCCATCAATCAGATCCATTTTAATTCAAGAGACGGATTTAAATTATCATTTATCATGGTTTTTTTTTTGTAAAATTGTTTGACATCAAAGTACTAAACAAATATGTTTTCAGTAAAGAGGGGGCTGAAGGATCATGTAAAAGAATAAATTATTGTGATTTTGCTCTACTGAATGTATTCAGTAAAAGATGTACTTTATATGTGTTGTAATAAATTTGAAATTGGTAATATTTCGTTGTTATTTACAAAGATGTCTGAACGGATAATTAGGATTAAAATTGCTTTATAGTTAAAGCCCTTACAGTGGAACCTGTTTAATCCGACATGTTTGCAATACGTTTTACTGTGATTTCTGCCATTCAATTTCATTTCTCATTTCTACTTATTCCATGATCTTTACACGCAGCAATACTACACCTTGTTCATTCCGACACATACTTTTAGAATCTACGCCCGTGCATGTCAGATAAGACAGGTTTCATTGTATTAAGGATATTAAGATATTTATTTAAAAAGTTATAAGGTATATTCTGTGTTCGTGTTTTGCATTATAATACGTCTAAGATTATACTTCTCTTGACAAAATACCCCTAGCTTTTTCCATCCATTCAGTATTTCTAATGGATGAGCATTGAATTATATTAAACTACTATACAAAAACAATTTAAGTACCAGTCCATATAAAAATCATGCAAAAGGTGATTCACTCAAGTTCTCAGAATTCAATGATTTTCCACTCAAAAATTTCTCTTGCTCTATGATCCATGTATGTAAAATAAAAAATGTTTTGGATCATGGTTACTATGGAAACCTGGTCAAAGTAATTTCCTTGGCATTAGCCAATTTTTCCGGGTAAAGGCACAGAGTGCAGTAAATCTGCAGAAGATTGAGACACTCAGTTCTTTCCTATCAAAAGGAACCTAGTCTAGAAACACGGTGCAGTAACAATATCCAATCCACGTCTCTAGATAACAAAAAATTAATAAATTGTGATTTCCCTCAGATAGAGCGGCCCTACAATTATTAGTCCAATCATTAACTCAGACAGAGTAAGAGAAAAAACTTTATACTGTACATAGTTATATCCTTTGTAGAACCCAATCATACACGTTACAATGGAGTTATTAGATTTTTGGAAAGAAATATTCAGTACGTCTGATGTCAAACATCTGGCTCATTTTCTCCATGATAATAAAAAGGAACAATGACATCAATTTAAGTACCAGTCTGTGAAAAAATCATGCAAAAGTGATATTTAAGTGATACACTCAGGTTCTCAGAATTCAATGATTTCCCCTAAAAAATTTCTCTTGCTCTGTGATCCATGTGTGTAAAAAAAAGTGTTTTGGATCATGGTTACTATGGAAACCTGGTTAAAGTAATTTCCTTAGCAACCAGGCAATTTTTCCAGGTAAAGGCACTGAAAATCACTGATCTTCAAAGCCTGAAATTATATATAAAAACTTATAACAATAAATCTCATTTACTGGTATAATAAAGACACAAATTTTAATTGTCTAAAACACACAAGACATTGATATTTTATATGAAGATAGTATTATGGTAGATATTAGAGTATATGTATTTTTTCGAATTTTTGCTGATTCAGAATTTTCCTAGATTTTGACAATAATCAAGGTCAATTAAAAAAAAAATACCAAGCTTATACAGATTTCGCTTGACTTTCACATAAAAGTAAAGAACTTTGTCTTTTAGAGATTGAGTTTGAAAGCGTGGGTTTTTGAAAAATCCTACTCGTTGCCTAGCAACAAAATGGGATGTTTTGATTACTAAAAGGTAAAAAATGGTAAAGGGTTGGGTCAGATATCTTACAAATTTTTATCTTTTTTGTTGCAGACTCAATTTTTAAAGTAACAAAAAATAACTCTTATTTAATTTTAAAACAAAACAATAATTAATAATTTTTATTCTCCATGGCAACAGCAAATTTTCCCTAGCAACAACGCAAAAAAAATTTTTTTTGGGCCTTTTTGTAGAAACTATGATAGTTACAAATAGATATTTTTTCTTAAAAAAGCAATTGGGCATAAATGTCAATTTAATATGGGTCTGTCAAAGTATTTTCTGTACTTCATTAACCCATTGGTACGATTCTGAACACTTAACGACCACTTTTTTTATCCATAATACATTCAGGCATTTTTTGGCTAAATTTTTAGGGCTGAAATTTGATCTTCCACAAAAGACCTAATAAATTAAAAATAAATACCTTAGGCCAAAATAAAAAATACCTTTGTTTCCCCTAACGCGACCGACCCAACTAAATCGCACCGACTGATAGATTTTTTAAAGAAGATGATTCAAATATTTTTTTTTGTTAACAAGTTTAATAAAATTTAATTTTATCAAAATCAGTTTTTATCAGAACGGCCAACATTGTTCCACTGTGATTTTCAAGCATTTGTTGGAAACAAAATGGCGTCCAGATGTGATTACAGAGAATTAGTTCTTCACAATACAATAATAATAATAATAATAATAATAATATCCTTTATTTATACAGGATAGCACAATTAGTTATAAACTAGTTCACATTGTGGTCCTGAAAACATATATACAGACAGAAGATTATGTACAGAAACATATACTCAGTAATTATAAAGCGAGTAGACTAAAATCAATATAAACACATGGTTTGTGTACGTTTCGTCTAAAACAATCAGAATTATCATCTCAGTAATTATATTTTAGTTTGAAGACTGGTAATAATTTCTTATGTAAGATGTTTTAAAACTTTGCAAAGATGGACAATTCTTTAAAAATTCTGGCATATTATTCCATAGCTGGGAACTATAAATTGTGAAAGATCTTCTATAATATTCTGTTTTAGCCCTCGGAATGTACAATGAATTACTTTGACTCAATCTTGTAGCTCTGTTGTTTATTTCATGTACAAACTTAAAAACATCTAAATAATCTGGAGTTAATCCGTGTAGAACTTTAAAAACAAGGATGACAGTTCTATACATGAAATAATCATTAATTGGCATCCATCTCAGTTGTAAAAACATTTCCGATGTAGGTGTATAAAAAGTTGTACTTAAAATCACTCTAGCAGCTCGCTTTTGGAGTTTACATAGTTTGCTAAGACCTTCTTTGTTTTTCATATTGCCCCAAACAGTACAGCAATAATTAAAATGGGGAAAAACAATTGTATTAAAGATTTTTAACAATAACTCAGAGGACATGAATGATCTTAATCTAGACAAAACACCTATTTTGGAAGCAAGTTTATTCGTTAAAATTTCAACGTGTTCAGACCATGTAAGACACTTGTCAATGTAGACACCAAGTAGTTTCGCACAAGATACATTTTCAATCACAATACTACCCACTTTAATACATAAATTCCTACAGTTTTTTAATCTTTGTTCCGTACCAATTAACATGCACTGAGTTTTTTTTAAGATTGATTGTTAACTTGTTTTTCTCCATCCAATCTAGCGTATTGATAAGATCGCTATGTAATTTATTTTCAATAACATCGATACTCTTATCTGAGACATCCTGAGTTGTATCATCAGCATACATGTGAGCCGCGGAGTGTTTTAAGCAGTCTGGGTAGTCATTGACATAAAGGATAAAGAACAATGGCCCAAGTATTGACCCTTGAGGGACGCCTATAGTTATGTCTAATTTTTCTGACTGAGTACCATTCCATCTAACACACTGTGTCCTATTCGACAAGTACGATTTGAACCAATTAAACGAGTCTTTGCAAATTCCAAAAGAAAGTAATTTGTGGAGAAGTATATTATGATTCACAGTATCAAATGCTTTGCTACGATCAACAAATAGAACACCAGTAAGTTTACCACTATCAATGTTTTGTAACCATTTTTCGATTATACTATGAAGTGCTGTTTCGCATGAATGCTTGGGTCTAAAACCAGATTGTTTTTCATTGATAAGATTGTTATGCGTAAGGTATTCATAAAAAGAATTGTGAACATGTCTTTCTAAGACTTTACTTATGATAGGTAATATCGAAACTGGGCGATAATTATTAAGCAAATAATTCTCACCAGCTTTATACAATGGTGTAACCCTAGCACTTTTCCATTCATCAACAAACACACCCGACTTGATTGAACAATTCAAAATATGCGTTAAAATATTTCCTAAGACACGAATACTTTGCTTTAGAATTTTAACAGAAATTTCATCTAAACCAGTAGCTTTTGAGTTAGACATAGAAAGTACTTCGTCGATAAGAAAGCTTTCACTAACAAATACAATGGCGACGTCTCAATCTTATGCCTTTCACTTATTAGAATTCTTCACTCTTGAAACAATTCGATAATAAAATTTACCATGACTAATTAAGAGTGTTTCGATTATGTCATGGCGTCTCCATGTGAGTGTATAAATTTTCGAAAGGGACCTTAAACAACAAACAAACCTGTCTGTTGAATTTAAGATACGTAAAAACGTGGAAAGGCCGGCCTCATGAGCAGATGAGAGGCCAACCTCGTGAACACATCATTTAATTTCAATGCATTTTATTTAATTTGAGTTTTGATCTAATAACCAGTTTATCTATGTTCCTATGTTTATATGCCATTGAAAGACCGTTTTCAACGTTCCTCATTGGGATTTAAACCTGAGACTTAAAATTAGCTACTTTCTTCTTAACTCCAAAGCAAAATGCTCTAGAACCATTGCAAATCTCATGGCCCTTAAAAAAGTAAAATGATTGTCTATAAGCACGGAGGATGATGGAAGGTTTGAAAAAATAGTTTGCGTATTTGAGATTCTTGTCTTGTCTTTTCTTTTTTTTAATTTGATTTATATAAATGTTCTTTGGCTTGAGATATTTCACAAGTTCAACTAAATAACAGTTGCGAATTAATTAATCATGAATTTTGTTTTTAAACGGCATATGTACATGTATAACACTTAGCAATTTGTTCATAAATCGCTTTCAA